AATAATTACAAAATATTATGCCAATCACCATGTCAAAGCAAAATTACATCAATATTTAGTATGCATTCAGCAGGTGTTAGGCACTATTATTTAAATAATTATTTCACTTGATTCTGACATCACCTTCCTAAACTTGGACTGAGGTCACACTCAGTGTAGAGGGTAAGAAACTGAGGTGAAAATACTCAAAACTTATTTTTTAAACAAGTAAGTAGTAGAGCTTGGGCATGCAAATTTCAAAGTAATTAATGCAAAGGAAAAAGAAAAACAATAAAAATGGAGAAAACCAGATTTTTAACTACTAACCCTTACATGAACTTTTGAAATAAAAAAACTTGTGCCAAGCTGGGCGGGTGGCACACACGTGTAATCCCAGCACTCAGGAGCCTGAGGCAGGAGGATCCCTGCGAGTTCGAGACCAGCCTGGGCTACAAAGTGAGCTCAAAGCCAGCCTGACTGCATAGCGAGACCCTGTCTCAAAAAGCAAAAACAAAAAACAAAAAACAAACAAAAAAAACCTTGTGCCATTATTATGCATTCACAATTTTTATTTTTATATACCAGGAATCAAACTCAGGACTCACTCTTGAATGCAGGCACTGTGCCCCTGAGCTAAATCCTCACTCTGTTGTTGTTTTATGAGGGTAGTTCAAGCTACCCTTGGCTCAGTATGTAGCCCAAGCTGGCTTCAATCTCAGACCCATCCTCCTGCCTCAGCCTCCCGAGTGCTGTCTTTAGAGGTGTGTACCATCATACCTGGCTGTACTCATAACCCTGACAGTTTCTTTTATAAAGGAAAAACATGGGAAGTTTCTTTTGGTTGTTTTATGGCAAGATTTGGGGGTTTCAGTATTTACATAGCTTCATTCTTCTTCACTTTTCCTGCAAAATTAAGACTTTTGTCTGAAATGTTAAAATAGCCTCAAATCTTACAGTATTAATTTGTTGTTACTGTAGTTCAATTCTGATCTTTCCCCTGACACTGTCTTCAGTTTACTAATGAAATCTTGTCTATGGTATTTGTTTATACCTGGCTTTGTTTTTTCTGTCATGCTAGTATGACTATGTTTTAACCAACTAGTCAAACACTCTCCAGTAAGTAGTTTGAGGACAATTCCTCAGTCTTGTTGAGATCCATTTATTTAGAAGCTCAGTAAGTCCATACGGGAGAACATCTCTGAGTTAATGTACTGGAAAATTCTGTTATAATTCTGTGCCCCCTAGTGGTATTGACATTTTACCATTACATTTGAAGTGGGAGTTAAGAGGGCATCCTCTGTGAAATTCTAGATACATATTCTTTCCTTCAGCAGTCATCAGTCATTAGGTGCCGTGCTAGTTGGTGTGCTGCAAAAATGAAAAATATTCCTGGTTTTTATCAGGTTTGTGGGCTAGTGAGAAAGGTGGAAAAGTAAGTAATTGTAACTCGGTGATGAACTCAGAGAGGTTTGTGCAGAAGCTACAGAGGATTTCCTGAGGAATAGAATACATGAACTAAGTCTTTTTTAAAATTAATTAAGTTTATTGGTACATTTTACGTATAGGTAATGATCACATTCATTCTGGGGAATTTGTAGTTGTACGTGATACAATTTGTTTATTTTTTTTCCCATTCCCTTACCCTCTCTTCAGCCCCTCTTTCCCCCTTTTGCCTCCTTATTTGCAAAAGCCTTGTTGAGGAATACCTAGATTTTGATTAAGCCCTGAAGGCAGAGTTCTCAAAGACAAAGCCTTTGAGAAGACATGAAATTTGAGGAGTTCATCACATTTTGAGAATGATAAGCAGTTGGATTTTAGAACTGGAATCTAGGTTGCTTTTGAAGATGAAGCTATACTCAAGAGCCAGGAGAAGTTAGGCTGGGCTCCATGGCTAAGGGCTTGAGCAAGAGCTTTGGAATTTATCCTGACAAACAGCCGCTGGAGAATGACATGCAAGGAACCTTCATATTCCTACCTTGACTTTCAGAAAAACACCTGATATGTATGGAGCACCTATGAGAGGTGCATATTATTCTAAAGCAGGGGAATCTAACATAAAAATGATACCCTGTTCCTATTGGGGGTCAGTGAACACCATCTAGCAATCCAGGGATAGATGATAAACCACC